GGTGTGGGGCAGGGTGGGGGTGCCCCCCACCCCACTGCGCCCCCCCCCAGATGCCGTGAGCCATGTCGGACGAGAAGCCCCCGCAGCTGGTGGACTACTTCGTGGTGGCCGGACTGACGGACACCTCACGGCCGCTGGAGGGGGGGAACCAGCAGCACCGCCCCGGCCGACGGCCCCCCCCCGGCCGCTGGAGGAGGAGAACCAGCAGCACCGCCCGGCCCGCCCCAGCGAACCCATCACTGACGTGGCCGTCATCATCCGCTCGCAGGGCGAGGAGGTGCCCCACGGCTTCACCTGCATTGAGACCACCACCTCGGGCCACCCCGTTGACCTCAACGCCGGGCTGCTCAACAACCCCCAGATGTTCATATGCTACAAGCGGGGCCGGGACAAGCCCCCCCTCATCGAGCTGGGGTGAGTCCCGGGGTCCGGGGCTGTGGGAGGGGGACACGAGTGCCCCGGGGGTCCCCTTCACCCCTCCTCTCCACCCAGGGTGCACTATGAGGGCAAGGACCGCCCGAAGCCGGGCTATAAGATCCTGGACACGACGCCCTACAGCCGCTCGGCCAACCTCAATTCGGGGGGGCCGGGACATCAGCGCACCTTCCTGACGTACCGGCGGGCGGCCGAGCCCCACGGCCACAACACGCTGGGGGTCACCGACATCTGCCTCGTCATGCCCAGCAAGGGCGAGAGCACGCCCCACACCTTCTGCCGGGTGGACAAGAACCTCAACACCAGCATGGTGGGTGCCAGGGCCCCCCCTCTCGCCACTGCCGGGATGTCCCTGCTGCCATCTGGCCCACGCTGACCCCCTCCCTCCGCTCCCTCCTTGCAGTGGGGCCCTGCCCTGTTCCTGTGCTACAAGATCGCCATGGCCAAGGCCAACACGCTGGTCTACGAAGCGGGTAGAGTCTCTTGTGGCGATTGGGGGGGGTCAACCCATCGTGGGTTCGCCTTGGCAGGCTGCTGGGCACCCACCCAGCTGCTCCCTCCCTCCCCCTCCTCAGCTGGATGGGGGAAATGATAAGGTGAGGCTCATCCTTCTGTCTGTCTGTCCATCCAGGGCTGCTGGGACGTTACCCCGAGCAGGACAGCGAGTCCTTCCCCCTGCCTGAATCAGTGCCCGTCTTCTGCCTGCCCATGGGGGCCACCATTGAGAGCTGGCCGGCCGACACCAAGTACCCACTGCCCGTCTTCTCCACCTTCGTGCTGACCGGCGCCTCGGGCGACAAGGCAGGACGGGGCCGGGGGGGTCCGGGCTGGCGGGGGAGAGGCGGCGGCGGCGGGGGGGGGTGTTTCGCCCTGACCGCCCGCCCCACGCAGGTTTACGGGGCAGCCATCCAGTTCCACGAGGCGTTTCCCCGGGAACGGCTGTCGGAGAAGCAAAGCCTGCGCCTGGGGCTGCTGAGTGTGGTGGACCGACGGCCCGTGGCCGGCCGCTCGCTGCAGACCCGCAAGAGCATCTGCGTCCTCTCCCACTGGCCCTTCTTCGACGTCTTCCGCAAGTTCCTCATGTTTATCTACCGCTACTCCATCTCGGGGCCCCACGTGCTGCCCCTCGAGACGTGAGCGCCGGGCGGGGGGAGGTTTGGGGGGGGACAAGGGGGTGGCCCCCGTCGCCTGCCCCCGCTGACGGGCCCCTCTGCCCTGCAGGCACATCTCCCACTTCATGCACAACGTCCCCTTCCCGTCCCCGCAGCGGCCGCGCATCCTGGTCCAGGTGAGTCATCGTGTGTCCCCCTCGCTGTCCCCGTCCCTGTGCTGGCTCCCCCCAGCCCACCGTGTCCCCCTGTCCCCCCGCAGATGTCCCCGTATGACAACCTGCTGCTGTGCCGGCCCGTGTCCTCCCCGCTGCCGCTCAGGTAGGGATGGCTGCGGGGCGCTGGGGCTGGAGGGGACACCCGCACACATGGGAGGGGGACATGGGGCGGCTGAGTGACGTCCCCCCCCCCGCAGCGGCGCCAGCTTCCTGACGCTGCTGCCGGACCTGGGCCCCGACAAAGCGGCGGCACCGCG